ATCTTCCCCAGAGCCTCGTTCCCAAGAGTCTCCATGATGGAGGCAAACAGCACCTGACACAGGTCAGAGGTCAGACACATGCTGGATGAACTCTGACATTAGCATTCAGCTGTGTTAAAGTAAAGTCTTGTCCTGGAGGACATGAACATGGCTGCCGTCTGTTTCTTCACTATAATCAGAGTTTAACCTTAACCTTGTCACTGAAGGAACCTAACATAGAATAAATAGAAAACTACATTTAAACTGACTCAATTCAAACTGTGTTTAACCACAGCTGACTAGAATCATTCACATAAAACAGAGAATACGTTTCCAACAGTGACTCATCAGCCGGGGTCCAGCTCTCCAGCTGCCCCGCTCCTCACCATCTTCTCCCGGCTCTCGTCCTGCGCCCTGCCCTGCAGAGGCGGCTCCTTCCCGGCGCCGCTGGTCCGGACCTCCAGGCTGAGTAGGAAGGCCGAGCTGTCCTCCACCAGCTTCTTGAGCTCCGCCACCGCGGCGTGGACCAGAGACTCCATGACGGTGGCCAGCTGGGTGTGCAGGGCCACGGGGGAGCTCATCCCGCCCGCTACAGACCGCCGCGGCGCCAGCTGAACCAGCTAACCCCAGCTAACCCCGGCTAACGGCGCGGAGCATCGGCTGGGCTCTGCGTGTTCTGTTTTCGGAGATAGTGAATCAAAGCGACACTCACGGAGAAAATAACTCTGACATTTACCAGCTGACAACACACCAGTGCGACCTGAACCGGAAGTAGCTTTTATTTCTCTTCCGGGTCGGACAGGAATCAGTTTCGGCTCTTGAACGCAACATGCAGTATTTTTTTTTTTTTTTTTAAAAGTTCTCTGATCCGTGACTGAAGTAAGAGTACTCCGTTACAAACCAAAGTCCTGCGTCCACAATCCAGTACAGGACGATCCCGAAACAGTTGGTTCTGACAACTTTATAGTGTTGGATCCGGACAGAGTTTGAACTGTGGACCTTTATTAACCTTTTCCTTTAAAATGAGGACTTTCTGAGTCTGGTGGAAGGTTTTCAGCAGGTTTCCTCTTAATGAAATCAGTATTAGTGTCCTGCAGGGGGCAGACACTCCTCTGCTTCACTCACAGGAAGAAGCAGAAGAAAGAAGGTCAGAACAATTCCCTCATGTTATTAAAACACTGGTCTGGTCTGGTCCATGTGTCTCCGGGTCGTCATCTGTTTGCGGATCATTTCTCGCCTAACTTTATTCAAATCCACCAACTTAACGATTCTTATGGGGGAAACACTCATATGAGAAACGACCCGAGACCTGAACCGTAAAGACCCGCGTGTCTGATCCGGCAGAGGTTTATGAGGTGACTGCCAACCGTTCACTGTTGTTATTGTTTTTGTTTATATGATGCGTTTCTGTAAAATAAAAAGTTTCTTTGGTTTAATGTAAACCAAAAACAAACAAGCTGTACCGAAAACAAAGCAGCCAGATTCTTAAAGCGGGTTTGGTATTTCTGTCTGTCCGCACACAAACACATAAACCTCGCCGTTTACCTGCGGTGTTCAACTGATCCCACGTGGTAGAGACAGTGTCTGTGACGGTCCTGTCTGATTGTTAAAGAAGACATTAATAATATTAAAATATATACAGGAGTTATTTCTCCATATGTTCATAAAGACATAAACAATAACATCCTGGCGATTTATGTATTTATTTACATATTGTATTGATGAGTTATCTATTGTTAGATAAACTTACGCTCGTATTTGTGCTAAGCTACATTAAGTTTCTCTCTTCTGGTCTTTGTGCTAAGCTATGCTAACACTTTCACCCTCCTCTGGTCTTCGTGCTAAGCTAGGCTAATAGTTTCCTGTGTCCTGTGTTCAGCTCATCTGAGCTGCTGGTCCCTGTTACCAGCAGAGCCGCTTCAAACCAGTGCAGTCCGATCCAGACTGGTTCTGCTTGGCAGCCATGTTGAGTTCTTTAAGGAGCCTCCTCTCTGCCACAAAATGTCCGGCAACCCGCCGCTGCTCAGGCTTTGTCTCCAGGACGAGGTTCGGTAATTCCCAGAGACCTGATTGATTAACAGTCAGATTGATTGATTTACACTCTGACTGATTGATTGGTTGACACTGATTGATCATCCTCTCAGGTATGTGAACAGGCTGAAGGAGGATGATGTGTCATGTGCTGCAGCGCTGCAGAACGGTCGCATTTTCCTGTTCCACCGCCTGTCTCCTTTGCTGCAACGCACCGAGAGGGGAACCTTCAGACCAGCTGCACTCATCAGCTCAGGTACAGAACCTCAGATAGGGAACCTCAGAACGTCAGGTAGAGAACCTCAGAACCACAGAACCTTAGTTAGAGAACCTGAGGCAGACGAGCTTAGAACCTCAGGTAGAGGACCTCAGGTAGAGAACCTCAGGTAAAGAACCTCAGAGCCTTAAGTAGAGGACCTCAGATAGAGAACCTCAAGTAAAGAACTTCAGAACCTTAGGTAGAGGATCTCAAAACCACAGAACCTCAGGTAGAGAACCTCAGAACGTCAGGTACAATAAGAGAACTTTAGAAAGATAATATCAGTTAAAAAACAACAAATAAAAGACAGTCACACTTAGAACCTCAGACAGAGAAACTTGCAGAACCTCAGTGGAGAAGAAATAACCTGAGGAATGTGATTCTCGTTCCAACATGCCTGATGTGTCATGTTCCAGATGTGCAGGCGATCCTGGAGAGACTAGGTTCCGATGGATCCCTCCTGAGGGAGTCGGTTCTGATCAACTGCTCTGAACAAAACCAGGCTCAGTTCTGTTTGGATGTCGGTAAGAACATATTAATCCAGATTACTGATCTGGGTTCTGGTCTGATGTGGTCTGTGTTTGGCTGCAGGAGAACTGGATCAGGAAGCAGTAGAAGAAGAGTGTGAAGGGAACTTCGTTGACCTGAGGAAGTCCTTCTTTCTGCTGAGCGGCGCAGAGGCCCCTCTAGTGGCCCAGGTCAGGAACTACACCTAGACCCCTCTCTGTTTCTGTCCTTTATTTTGAAATGCTGCAGGAAATGACAGTTTAAATTTCAGTTTAAAGGCTCAGTTCACCCACATTAAAGCCTGGAACCGTCTGTTGTGAACTAGCTGTTTGAGCTGTTCTGGTCCTGGTCTCCCCTGCAGGGTCAGGCTCTGCTACGCTGGCATCAAACCAGCAGGTTCTGCAGTGCTACAGGTCAACCGACCCACCGGAACCAGGCGGGCAGTCAGAGAGTCTGCAGCAGCAGCGGCACAGTCTACTATCCAAAGGTAAACCAGACCTGATCCCGGTCAAACCCAGATCCAAACTAGATTTGAACCAGACCTGAACCAGATCTCAACTAGATCTAAGCTGGATCTGAACCAGATTCAAACCAGATCTGAACTATCTGTTAACTTTGTTGTATATAAGGTTCCTGGTCTGACTGGTTCCTGACTGGTTTCTCCTGTTCTGACTGTAGATGTCTCCGGTCGTGATCGTCCTGGTGTCTGATGGAAAACGGTGTTTGTTGGGTCGACAGTCGTCCTTCCCTCGAGGGATGTACAGCGCTCTGGCTGGTTTCTGTGACATGGGTCAGTGTCACCTGTCCGTGCACACACCTGTTGATCACCTGTCTGTTTACCTGGTTAAGGTTTAACTAACCCACCTGTGTGTTCCAGGTGAGTCTCTGGAGGAGGCTCTGTGCAGGGAGGTGGCAGAGGAGGTGGGTTTGGAGGTTCAGAGTATCTCCTACAGCTCCTCACAGCACTGGCCCTTCCCTCACAGCTCCTTCATGCTGGGCTGCCACGCCTCTGTTAGCCCCACCGACACACAGGTGAGCTCAGAGGAAGAATTCTATTGATCTTAAAACACCTGAAAACACCTGAACCTGACAGTTGCACCTGCTGTGCTGTTTCCTGTCCAGCTTGATGTGGACCACACAGAGCTGGAGGACGCTCGCTGGTTCAGTCTGGAGGAGATTAGCTCCGCCCTGCAAGTGAAGACTCCGCCCAGGAGAGGCGAACCGCCCGTCCTCTGGCTACCCCCGGAACATGCCATTGGCAACCGACTCATCACGGAGTGGGTGGTCCGACAGCGAGAGTCCGAGTCCTGAGACCCAGAACCAGGTCTTCATCTACACCCAGATCCAGATCCAGAGCCAATGAGCTTCTTCATGGAATGGACTGTCATCACGTCTAATTTTTAATGACTCAAATGAACATTTAATTACATTTCTACAGTAAAACACAGAATCTACCTCTGAGTTGTTGTTATTATTATTATTATTATTATTATTATTATTATTACTATTATTACTCTGTTCTAGAAACTTATGACATTTAATTAAAAAGTGAAAAAACTTCCCCTGATTCTCTGAAGACAAGTTGCTTCAAACCTCTCTCTCAAATTAAATCGAAGGCAACTGGACTTGTATTTGTCTGTGGAAGACGTTACGCCTCTTATCCAAGCGGCTTCATCAGTTCATCATGTATTGGTCTCTCTAGTCCGCACTAGTCTGACCAAGAAAATGGAGTAGGACCCAGGTATTTAACCTCTTGTGGGTGGGTCCACCAAGTCAGTGAGATCCAGATCCAGTCCACACTCATTCAACTTGGTCTAATAGATCAGGTGAGTTACCTGTAGAGGAGCTCACGTCTCATTATCACTGACTCCCTGTCTTTAACTAATGAATCTAAAATTACAGTAAAATTATGAAAATATCAAAAACACGAGAAATGAGTGGAACATGTTTTTAATCAGGAAACTAAACAAATAAATAAATAAATACAGATAATTGTTTGTTACCATGTAAAACTACAATGCTAACGCTAACACTCAGTCAGCTGAAACATTTATCCACCAGTAAATATAAACATAAGAACATTAAATCATTGTAAGTGTTAGTGAACGGCTGAATCTGATCCACAGACCAGCAACCAGTTTGACCAGCAGAGACACAGACTGGGACAGCTGTGTTTCAATAACTGACCTGCTCATTCATGAAAACCTCCTCCTCCTCCTCCTCCTCACTTCTTCTTCTTCTTGGCAGGTTTGTTGTTGCAGTATTTCTCCTCCATGCTGCTGATCAGAGAACTGAAGCCGGCCTCACGAGACGCTGCCCTCCTCTGACGACAACAAACAAACAAACAAACATCTGTAGAAATTCAAGCTTTCTTTCAGTTTATTTAAACGTTTCAGGTGAAATAAAATCTTTATTTGAAGAAAAACAGGGAGAGTGCTGCACAGGGTCAAAAAGGTATTGTAGAGAATGTAAAAAAGAAAACTGGAACCAGGTGCTCCAGGATGGAAGAGATCAACTAAACTAGAAAAAACCAACTGTCCAGTGTAATGAGTCTTGTGAAGGTTGAAACTGTACAATGGCAGTAAATGAAAAAATGTTGGTATCCATATTCAAATAAAGGATTTTTAGTTTCACATCTACAATCGGAGCGCTGCCAGCCGTTGTACAGTTTCAACCTTCATGAGACTTATTACACTGGTTAGTTGATTTTTTTCTAGTTTATTTAAAATCTTTATTCATTTAATGTAAGTTTCAGTAAATTTGAAAATATTCATCATGAGTCACTTTTAATTAACTGCAGCTAATTTTAAAACTCATCAGTTGATCTCGTTCAAACATTGAAGGCATTTAGTTTGTGAATCAGTGAATCTTCATTTAATTCATTTTACAAAACTTTACATTTTAAAATAGAAACATATTTCATAATAAATGATCCTTATATTAATGAACTTTTATTAATTCAAACAGATAAAAAGTTGTAGTTTGTCACCTTGACGACAGGTCGTTGACCTCGTCCAGGCTGAGCTCCTTCTTCAGCTGCTCAGACTGAGCACGCCCAGTGTCCGCCTGCACATAAACACACAGCTGATGATGTCACAGTGGACAGTGTGACATCACTTCCTCCTCACTGATAGATTTCTGATAGGTCTGATCAGGTTAGTGTATTGATTATTGATCACACTGCTCACTTTGCGTTTTCGTGCCGCTTTCTTTCTGCAGTTCTTGTGTGTGAACGCTCTCAGAGCCGGCAGGTCGCCGCCATCGATGGCTGCCTGCAGGAGGTCAAAGGTCAAAGACTTTTTAACACAGAGAATTTCATTCCACAGCTGTCATTGTGCACGACGACACGTTCAATACTGTAGGACTTTTTATAACTTTCTTTAGGGAATTGAGTTCAGTGCTATTCAAGGCTAAGACCTGCAGATCCTCTGCTGGCGTCAAAGGTCAGCTGTTTACCTGCAGGATGCGTCTGACCCGTGGCTCGTCGTCCGGTCCGCAGCACAGAGCTGAGTCCAGGATCTGGTCCATGTCCCCGCTGCAGTCTCTGTAGAGACGCAGCAGGTCCTGCTGCTCTTCATCTGAACCGTTATACGTCTGCTCGAAGTTCACGATGTCCTGCAGGGTGACCTGCAGGACAGAGAGGCGTTCACTGACACACTGTGAAACACGTCTGACCTCACACCCATCATCAGACACCTGAACTTCGATTCAAACTCAGTTCATTTATTTCATTCAACAGTTCAACTGGTTAACAACGTGTGGACTAATTATAAACGCTGAAGAATGGGACCTGGCTATTTCCTGGGCAAATCTGTGTGTGTGTTTTTAAACCCTGAAGAACTGCAGAGCTGCATCAGTGCTGGAGGAGAGAGAATAAGAGGATGGACAGATGGAGGGGTGAAGAAGTTACTATAGGAAACAGCAGTCTCCAGTATTCATCCCAGTCTCGTCCTTCTTTCACAGTGTCCGACTCTTCGTCAACGATGCCGTGCTCGTCGTACACGGCTCGCTGCTCTGCGACGCTCAGCACAGCGTACACTTTCCCCAGAGTCTGAAACAAACAGCAGGCCTTGAACTACTCACAGCTGCCATCCCACTGCATTCAGGTGCGGTAGGAAAGTGTGATCAATCATTCAGATGAAAAGAAAAGAAAAACGCTTTAGAAGAGTTTTTATGAGATAAAGTTGTAAAACAAAGTTTTTGTGTTAAGATGCAGTTTGACACAAAATCAGATGAATAATTAATCTCCAGAGACAGGAAGTCTCAGTGTCGTCAGAATAAATATAATAATAAAATAAATATATAAATGAGGAAAAGATGAAACCATCTCTGTGTGTTTTCTGTTTTATTGTTTCATCACTGAGAACATCAGACTCTTCAGGTTTTACCCAAACACAAATGCATTATATGAACATATATGGGATTTGCATATATTAAATATATGAACATATAAAAGAGATTAGAGATAGGGTGAGGAGCTCGGTCATCCGGGAGGGACTCGGAGTAGAGTCGCTGCTCCTCCATGTCGAGAGGAGCCAGTTGAGGTGGTTCGGGCATCTGGTGAGGATGCCTCCTGGACGCCTCCCTGGGGAGGTGTTTCGGGCATGTCCCACCGGGAGGAGACATCGAGGTCGACCAAGGACACGCTGGAGGGATTATATCTCTCGGCTGGCCTTGGAACGCCTCGGGATTCTCCCGGAGGAGCTGGTGGAAGTGGCTGGGGAGAGGGCCGTCTGGACCTCTCTGCTGAGGCTGCTGCCCCCGCGACCCGGATCCGGATAAGCGGGAGACAACGAAACGAAACGAAACATATAAAATAAAAACATACATATGTAAAAATTATATATGAAACCTATTAGAAATTGGAACAATTTCATTTACTGACATATCTGTCTAGCCTGTACAAATATATGTTTATGTATGTATACTTTATATATATTTATATATTCTATGTATATATTTTTATAGAGCACTTTTCTAAACCCACAGTAGAGTCCAAAAGTCTGAGATACTTTCCCAGAATGTGGAGTTAGACATATTTAAAATTTATGAGAAATTTATAATAAAAACATAAATAAACATTGATTTTCTATATGTATGTTTTATTAAACTTGCAAATATAAATTAAATATACATTATTAACATACTATATGTGGTCACAACATCTTACACCATATAAAAATATATTTTTTTTAATAAACTGTATGTACATAAACAAATTGTACTATTTCATATCACATATTATTTATGTTATAAACTTACATCTTCATATATCAGAGGATGTATACACGTGATCCTCTTATAGGTGACACATATGAGATGTATTACATCATACAGGACTTCTCTGTGACTGACACTGATGTCTGTGTGTGAGAGCCGTGTTGACCCTGTTCTGTAGAGACCCGGGCCCGGGTTCTGACCTGGAACTTGCTGGTGGAATGCGGGTCTTGGGGCACCCGGTCTGGATGGACCTGCAGAGAGGTTTTGTAGTAACCTCTCCTGACCTCGGCCTCCGAGGACGACCGCGGCACACCCAGGACCTCATACAGGTCTGAGGATCCGAACAGGTCCTGACAGTCCTCCAGCAGACCCATCGCCAGGCTGGAACCAGAGATTGACACTAAAAAATCAGGTTATATCAACGGTTATCCGGACATTCTTTAGGCCGAATGAACCACCGGAACCAGGTGCGGCTCTCTGTTATCAAACCCACTCTGACGCGTTTCTACATCCGCCTCTAACAGTAAAACACTGAATCTACTGATTTCTGAGCGGAGTTTTTCTGGAACAGAGGGACCGGAGCGACTCTCGGCTCCTCCCGGCTCCTGTCACCGCCCGTCCGTGCTGCCCTCCCCGCTGTGCTGGCCTGAGAGCCGCAGGATCCAGTTCTCATATGAAACAACGACGTTTCTCACCTGAGACCAGTGTTTCAGTGTCTTCAACCTCAGAAACGACGTTAACGCGTTCTCATCTGACTTAAACACTCTATGAAAAGTGGCGCCGTCATTGCGTCATTTTAACGCGACATCGTTTTATAGTTTTTTTTGGTAACGTTATATTGAAGTAAAATGACCACTACCACAAGGTAAACATACCCAGTACAAGTTTTAAATTGAATATAATTAAATTAATTAAAATTTAATTAAAATTTTAAGTTTTAACAGGTAAATATGATATAACAGCTCAGGTTCTTTCTCTTTAAAGAAACACTCACTGATGCAGAGCCAGTGGAGGGACGAATAAAACTGCTACATGACTCTGAGAACTGCTGCTTATATTAGAAGAACTACAGTTCCCAGCAGGCCGTTCGGCTGTACACATGTGGCGGGGAGCCTCGGACAACAGACGGCGGCATCATGTCTGTGTTTATGGATTTAAACCTGAGCTACACGGCGGACAGGAGCGCCCTGCAGAGTATGGTGGACACGGCTGCTCACCGTGAGTCTCCTCTCCGGCTCTCATCTGAAAACACGAGCGTGACGGCGGGAGTTCTGCTGCTGAACGGAGGCTAACTCAGCTAGCATCAGAGCTAAGCTCGGGCCGTTACAGATCTGTTGGTGTCTGTGTTCACTTCATTCTAACAGCTGGTTGGACACCAGGTTCACCACTGTGTAACTTATTTCACCAGTGTGCGTGAGTCTGAAAACGAGCAACAAACTCTGCACCAGACTCCGTTTTAATGTTTCTCTGGTTTTTGGTTCAACGACTGACCTGCTAAAACAACATTTAACATGTTACTCTCAGCGAAGCCCTGTGTTAGCTAATGTGTAGTTAATGTAAGTTTTCGGTGTCTTCCACCCTAAGATCAACAACACAGTGTCACTAGACTCCGTTCAACATCCTCCATGTTTAAGCTTCTCTGGTCTCTGCTGCTTTATTAGAATAGAACTGACCTGCCAACAGAGATGTTAATAAACAGCATATTCATCCATAAACCGCATATTTATACAGAGAGTTTGCTGTTTTGGAATAATAATAAACACAAGAAGAAACCTGATTGAATTGCAATTAATTATTGAATTATCAGACACCTGGGTTATTACAATCGATTTCGTCAGTGAATGCAGTTCAAGAGCTCACGAAACCTCTGTTCAAAAACACATCATTTCGGTTAGGATCCCGGTTTTTCTCAGCACAGGTTATAGGTGAAGCATGTCGAGTTACTATGGTAACAGATATAACAACAGTGAGGACGACCATATCAATAATCATCACTGATTATTCTTCTTCCTGCAGTCGGTTTCTCCACAGTCGCCATCAACTACTTGTTTGAACCCACGGCCAAAAAGAAACAGGTGAGTGACCGCACCTGCTGCGCTGCGTTCAGGAACACAATCACACGCAGGAAAACAAACACCAGCACGTCAATGTTAGGAAACAGGAAGTTTAAGATAAAAATAAAATTCAAACCCTGTATGGCCAAAAGTTTATGGACATGAACTCAGACTTTTAAGATGACCTGAAGTCTCTGTCTCTCCACTTTTATTTTGTAACTGTGTGTATTTCCTGTTTGCAGGAAATCCCCACCCCCACGCCGATCAATGAGCTGATCGATCAGCTGCCGATCGTACAGGTACAGAGAGGATGAAGCTGATGATGTGAACGTGTATTTACAGTATGTTAACACCTGTGTATGTGCGTGCGTGTGTGTGTGTGTCAGGGCCGCTCTCGTCCAATCAGAGTGCTGAACAGACTGACAGTTGTGATGTCAGACTCCAGTCACTTTGTGAGTGTTGATGGATTTTATTCTGGTTTCACTGATTCTGCCTCAAACACCTGGAGACAAGAGGATTTACCTGTGTGTGTGTGTGTGTCTGTGTGTCTGTCCAGAGGCCGACTGCTCCAGAGTACCGTAGCTTCGACCTGCTGGCTGTGCAGCCGACCACAGAGAAACTCTTCCATGTGAGATTCACTGACACTCTGTACATGTGAACATCTGTCTGACAGCTGTTCACTGTCCCTGTGCATATAACGATTTAACATTCAACACTTTACACTTTAAATACTGCACACATCAGTGATAGTGAACTCTGTGTGTGTGTGTGTGTGTGTGTGTGTGTGTGTGTGTGTGTGTGTGTGTGTGTGTGTGTGTGTGTGTGTGTGTGTAGGCAGCCTGTATGTTGTATGATGTTGACATCATCTGTATCTCAGTCACAGAGAAACTTCCTTTCTTCTTCAAGAGAGCACCGGTCAACGGGGTGAGAGTTGTTATCATTATTATCATTATTATTATCATTATAACAATAATAATTTACATTTAAAGTGTAAATTCGTTCAGATGAAAGAAAATAAAAGTTTCACACTCACATGAAAGTCTGGTTCCTCTTGATGAGTCGACGTTGTCGCCCTCTGGTGGTCAGAGCTGGAACTGTATATACAATATATATCATTGATCAGGTTTAAATATCCTGTGTGTGTGTCTCTCTCTCTCTGTGTATGCACAGGCTGTAGACAGAGGCCTGGTGTTTGAAGTGTCGTACTCTACAGCCATCAGAGACTCCACCATGAGACGCTACACCATCGCCAACGCCGTCAGTCTGATGGACAGCTGTAAGGGGAAGGTACGTCCTGGCTGTCCCCAACAGGCTCCTGTAGCTGTAGCTGGTGACATCATGTGTGATGACATCATGTGTGATGTCACCACTCTGCGATAACAACAGATTAACATCAACAATGTTTCTGTCTTTCAGAGTGTCATCCTGTCCAGTGCAGCTGAGAAGGTCAGTGATCAATACATCAATCATACATCAGCGACTGGTCGATCAGTATTGATCAGTGTTATATCTGCTGTGTTTCAGGCTCTGGAGCTCAGAGGTCCATATGATGTCACCAACCTGTATCCTGTTACAGCTGTGTGTGTGTGTGTGTATCAGTCAGTCAGTCAGTCAGTCAGTCAGTCGTGTTGTTGTTGTTGTTGTTGTTGTCCTGACCTGCCTCCTCAGAGGTTTGTTGTTCGGTTTGTCAGATGGAGACGCTAAAGAAGCCGTGACCTCGACCTGTCGCTCAGTGCTGCTGCACGCAGGTGAGACTGATACTACTTTAGTATTGATAATACTGTCAGAAGTACTGTGTAGGTGGTAGTGCAGGTGAGCTGTGTTCTCATTGGACAGACAGAGCCAGGTGGATGTATGTACAGTGATGGTAACAGGTGAACAGATGTGGCTGAAAGCTCAGGGAAAAGCCTGTTGTTGGACCTTTGAGTTGAGATTGTCTCAGGTGTGTTGACATGTGATCAGCTGATCTGAGGTGAACTCACCTGTCGTGTTTGTCTTCAGAGACCAGGAGGACGGCCAGTGGGATCATCTACACCATGAGGAGCTGCAGTGAGTCATCCTGCCAGCAGGAGGCTCCGCCGCCCTCTGAAGGTTCACTGACACTGACGCATCAGGTGACACATCAGCTGACACATCAGCTGACCTGCTCTCTGCTCTTCTGTTTTATCTGAACAGGTGAAGCTCCTGCTGCCAAGAGACACAGACCTGCTCTGACTGAGTGATTGACAGCTGAGGAGGGCGGGACTTCTAGGGCTGACAGGCATTTTCTTGTTTCAATCGTATAAACTTGTTGATTGACAGGAGAAGATTTTGATTTTCACGAATTTTTCCTGTGAACTGATTCAATGATTTCTGATTTGACTTTTATGATTTTGAAATAAACAGTTTGAAGAGTCGGTGTCAACTCAGTGATTCATGTTCTGTTCAGTGATGAAAGTCATGAATATTATAAATATAAAATATAAATGTCCTGTAAAGTAGCTTAGCATACTCAGACATTTACCTTCCCTATGTTGCTAGTTGTTTGCTGCTGATTGGACAGACGTATCCTAGCAACAGATTTACACATTAACTACAGTATTTACAGCTACTGTCAATCAAACATACACATTCCCCAGACACTGTCAATCTGACTCCAGTCTGATCATCCTTCAAAAATAAAAGCACAGAAAACATCTGAATAGGTGAACACACCTGTCCCATCACAACCAGAGGCAGCCTCCTATTGGTCAAACGGTTGGGCGGGGACTAATGGGGCTCTGAAAATAAAAATCTGATCAGTTTGATGATCAATAATTATATTAGTAAACTTTACTGAGTGTGGGTTCAGAGACGGTCACACACACACGCCTCTATCAATAATCACTGTATTGATCTGACTCAGTTCATCAAAGACAACAGAACTCAGGTTTCAGACAAAAGTTTTATTTTGAAATTAAGCTGCAATGCAAACGCTGCCCTCTGATTGGTTAGACCCAAAGCAGGAAATTATGTCATCAAAAATAGAATTGTTTTACATTCCGTCACATTAAAAATAAACTGGTTTAAAATATAAAACTCTGCTTCATAAAAATAGAAATCTACAAACAGAAAGTTTCCCTGTAATTAACACATCTCTGCCCCTTTAACACACAGGTGTGGATATTGGGGAGGATCTGATTGGCTCACAGTAAACACCTGATGTAAACAAACAAACCTGATGTGGATCCCTTTCATTATTTGCCATTAAAAGCAGTGTAATAGCCCTTTACTGAGTAACCTCAGAGACAGTGAACGCCTCTTGAAAACAATGACATCAGAGGCAGTGGGGAGGTCAAAGGTCAAATCACTAATCATAGCTGGGAGTCACTGATTATTGATTACATATCATTAACACATATAAAACTACACAAATTAAAGTGATGAGTTCACTGCATGTCAGACAAATTGCCATCGTGTTCAGGTGTCTGACAACATGTGAACCAATCAGACATCAGGTAGGAGGAGAAAGAAGTTTGATTGGATAGGAGGAGCAGGGGGCGGAGCTACATCAGTGATGCTAATTATTGCTCTTACAGCTCAATGTTAAAGGAACATTTTTCTGAATTTTTTTTCCAAACTCCACCTGATGGTGCATTCAAGGACACGTGGACATGTGAGATTTGAGAGTGGGCTGTGAGCGCTGCGGTCAGAAAATCAACCCACATGGAGAAGACAGAGACGGATTCACATCAGATGTTGGAAAGTCCTTGAACACATCAGCAGGAATATATGAACTCGTCACCTGGAGTTAAAGAGTCAAAACGTGACAAAAGGTACCAGATTGGTCCGTCAAGGGGGCGTGGTCACGATGACATCCAATAGAGTTAGTGAAACACCTGCAGCAGGAATCTGAGTTGACAGCTGCAGTGTGGACGGTCTCTGAGGGTTTTCAGGACAACAGAGGACCATGAAGGGGTCAGGAGGTTGGGGGGCTGCTGCTGCTGCTGCTCCCCCTCCTGCTGTAGGAGTGTTGTTGCTCAATGGCCCATGATGTGGTTGATGTGGCCCTGAAATGAAAACAGTGATTTCTATGGAGAGCGGCCATCAGAGGTCAAAGGTCAGATTATAAACCAGCCTCAGCAGGTCTGATCATGTGACCACCTGCTTCAACCACAGGTGAAATGAACCTTTAGCTCTCACACACACTTACTGGTTCTCCTCCGAGACACCTGGGACAGCAGAGCTGAGGAGGTCTGGATCGGACCTGCATCAACACACACACACACACACAGACACACAGACACACACAGTATGTTAACATGTTACCATGGAAACAACTCCATGACCAGAGCAGTGTCACATGACTAAAGAATTGTGTCTGTTTGTGGCTTGTGGAAACAGAGATGAAAAGTGAGGAGGAAGAATAAACTTCACTTCACTATTTGTGTTTCAAATTCACAACCTTCATCTCCATGGCAACGGCTCTAAGGCTCATGGGTATTGTAGTATTTAGACAAAAAGCTGATTTCTCATTAACAGTAAATCAAACTGACATGAATCACAACTCTCAATGAGCCTTACTGTCTGTCGTCATGACAACCTCCACCGACCTGCTTTTCTTCTTGCTGATTGGTCACAGGGAAGTTGTGGGTAGTCTCCATTGGACATTCAGCTGTCTGGACCTCCGCCTCCAAACACACCCGCTTCTGAAATAAATCATCATCATTATCATCATCTTCATCACCATGAGTGAATGGAGGGTCTTTGTAGCACCAGTCTGTCATTAGGGACTTTGAAGTGATGATACGGCGCCTGTATACATTCCAACATGTTGCCCTAGTGACGGAAATCAAAGGTCACTAAGCAACATTAACTCTAACAACAGCTGCTTCACTTCTGCAATATTTATATTTTCATTTTCATTATCTCTCCAGCCACACCGGGTCAAAGCCACCCACTCTATGTTTTTCAGAACATCTGGGAAGATGAATAAAAAGTGATGTTAAAATCATGTCAACGTCAGCTTTACTACACTTGTTAATACACTTCTAAAGACTTGGTACTCTGGCCTTGACTCCTCTCTTGCTCTGATCCTCTCCTCCACTGGCACCTTCCACTTGTGGCTGAGGACTAGTCCTACTGTCAGTCCTGACTCATTAACCGAATCTTGTCAGAAACATGAATTAACTTTTCTTTCCCAGATTAGAACTAATGATGTCTGCACTCTGCACTGTTTCACCTGTCCTCGTGATTCTCCTCATTGCAAACTCTCTTTTTAAGTTAATCTGTGATTTGAGACATTGCTGAAAAATACCCCACAAAAAACTAAATTTAGACCCTGGTTCCGGCGGTGGAAACACACATAGTTCCTCAAAAGGTTCCTGGTGAAAGTTCCTGTGGTGGAAACGTGGCTATATAAAACATACAGTCTAAACATAAGCGTGGGTAAGTGGCTAACAGACGACAGCATTGGGTGAAAGTAGCACACATGCAGCAAGACAAACATGCAAGATTAAAAACAGCAGAGGATAGGCACAGCGGTGATGGCTAAACAAATGCAAAGCAACAAACAACAAAACAAACACGCAAAGTGAGAAGACAGCAAGGCAAAAACACAACAGGAGAAACAAGCAAAACAACAGAAACAAAAATAAACAGGAAAAATAGGCAGATAACAAAAATGCACAGGCAATCAACAAAGAAACACGCACGAAATGACAGAAAGTAGCTGATAGAAGTTTGAAAATGTCACTTGGTCATGAAACAGCTGCATGCTAACAGGGAACACATGACACATTTGACCTTCATTAAATGAAACTACAGCTCCTTTGATCTGGATATTGTTTTTGGTCATATTGTGATGTAGATTATATTTAGAGAAATTGAGCAGCTCTAAATGAAGCTGAATTAAAATCAGTGTGACAGAGCAGAGCGTGGTTCACAGTAACACTGCTCTGAACAGATGGTCGGTCTGGATTAAAGACTAAAGTTAGCACAGTCCTCTGTCATATGGAGACCTGACACTGAATTAAATACTGATGGAATCATTTCACTAAATTTAGCTGCAGCTCTATCACAGATCTACTGAAGTGTTTTATTCTGACGGTCCAGTAACAGGAAGTGAAGAGTCACTACACAGTGATGTGAGGATTCTTTTAATGATCAGTTGATGTCCCAAATCAGAACCGGGTTCAGGGTTCAGTTCACTCTAATGATGAGATCCTTTCCACATGAATATTAATCAGCTGCTGTGATGACATCAGAGAACTGAAGTCTATATAAACTGTAAAACTAGTGTTACTGTCCCGTCAGCTCCATGTGTCTGTTCTTATATACTTAGTCATGTACAGTGAGCATAGAGGAAATATGAGAAATACTGCATCAATAACAAATGTGCATGTTAAGATATCACATAGAATCGATCAAGTTAAACATGTTAGAAAGATTTAAACAGGTTTTGGATTATGAGTGTTATTTTTCTGGTCTAGAAAAAGAGACTGTATAGACAAAACACTGCTCTGCAGTGATGTGGACAACCTTCTGGAAAGTGATTATTTAAATTAAAAGCAACATGTTGAATAATATACACCTTTTTATTATTGTTGGAAAATTCCATATTCATAAGAAAAACTTTCCTGCACTTTGTTTAAACAAATTTAAAAACAAAACAAATTTAAACAATATAGCAAGACTTTCTCTGATGTTAAAAACAACCTGGAACCTGGAGGACTGAGAATTAATGTGACTGGAGGGAGAGGATTCGTTTAGACTGATCATGACACAACAGGTGTCACAAGTAATCAATATATTGATCTGATATTAGATCGTTTACTGATAAAGCTTCAGACTGTGTTAGACATGTGTTCCTAATAAACTGGACGTGAGGACTCTTGTTCCAGAAACCATTCATTCTTTCATTCAAACCACATTCAAACACAGTCTGATCTTCATCATCATCATCAGTCAGGTGTCTCACCGCTCTGCAGTTCCACGACTCCGGCTCCAGGCTCCTCTTCTTCAGGAGGTTAGCACACTGCATGCTAACAGCTAACAGCTAACGGAGCTAAAAGGATCTCGGTCCCTCCTGGCGGACCGGGAACACTTCAGTTCGGTTAGTTCGGAGCTTACGGCCGGTCCGGCAGAGCTAACCCTTAGCTTGTTATCTGAGAGGAGGCACTGTGTCCAGACTACCGGACAGGAAGCAGTCAGTTTCCCGCTCACAGTGAAGAGATCCTGTAAATCAAACCGGCCCGCGGACCGGCGGTGCTCTGTGTGTTCTGTTGTTCTGTTGTTGTTGCGCGACCTTCTGTTGACCGGCAACTTCAAGTACACAGCAACCAAGTCAACACTTCCGATGAGAGACAGAGACGCTTCTTCACAATAAAAACAGCCCAATGAAAGCTAAGCCTAACCCTTACCAATATGACTCTAA